ATCCTACCTGCCATCTCACTAAATCCTTCCAACTTCCCACCACCTTTCAGTTTTTCTTTCAAAATTCTTCAGATTCTCTCGAAGATACCGCGGTCGAGCAGGAGAGTGGAATGGGGCAAGTGCTAGTGAAACGGGAAAAAGCGAAAAAAGTCACTAAGTCAGAACTACGACGTCTCTCTCAAGCGAATATATACGAAATTCCTCGCTGGGGATTCCCCATCATACAACGTGCCCTGGCTCTTCCTCCCATCGAGGTTCGTGATAGTTTCCTTCCCACACGCTCAGAAGAGTGCGGACGACCAGTCGCCATGGGGCCCCCTCCAACTAAGTAAGCGCCAAATTGAAGCTAAACACTCCCATTTGAGAGAACCACCCAAGTTTCTATGGTTTCCTTCTCGTAGAATAAAAAGAATGCTCAAAAATGTGATGGTTTTTAAAAGTAGACAAAAAGTTATTGAACGTAACATGAGCAAAGCTTCTGTTTCAATGATCAAAAAAAGCCAGAGCGTTGCTCTCTGCAATTCGTATTGCTATAGATTTTTACACAACACATTACACCTCACAACACGACATCATTCTGTAGACTTACATGGACCGCAAGGGCGAAAACTTCGAGTACAAAGCATGAGAAATCTCAGCTTTCTCATCTTTATGAGCATCGAGTAGGCATCACTAGCCATTACGTGTTAGTCGAAGAAATGACGAGGAGCATCAAAGCAACTCGTATTATGTAAACACTCTAATCACCAAATAAAACATGGCCGCGTTACAAGTATGTAGTCACTGGTGATAGCAATAACTGCCGCGCAAAGAACACCAAGGCGCGCGCGTTCAGGCGTGGCTTTTACGCGACTGACACCTCAGTTCTTGCGTGCTCAGTCTATGCGTTGAATGACGCCTGTTAGTTTTATCCTGTGGCTGTTGGACTGGTGTTACCATTAAGTTGGAAGAGATAAGCCCAGTTATTTCAACCTTTCCTCGTTCAATTCCTTTTTGCCATGTCCCGAAAGACGCACACGTCAAACAAACGAGACAGACGCGAGAAGCTGAACGAGTTTATTGAACACTCCACACAGGATGAAATCGCTCCTCTATCGCATAGAATTGCACTGGAAGTTCTCAGCACAACAATCTCGTATCCTACCGGAAGGTCCTAATGACCTAGGGTGGGGGCACACCTGCGAGCGCTTATCAGTGCATGTCTTTGGCTAATGCCGTTTGGACGCACGCAATTTTGGCACCGAGCTCATTTTTAAATTGCCTAAATCACCAAATCCGCTAAAAACTTGTATATAGGGGTAATTTAACATCCTGATTACGAATATGACATTCATTCTTGGCGCTGGCGCTAATGGATGACACTACGATTATCTGCGCTCTGCTAAGGCTGAGCCCAGGAGGTAATCGTAGTGTCCTCTCTTGGTGCCAGCGCCAGAATGAGGATCACTTTCATATCAGGATGTTAAATTACCCATGTGTACAAGTTTTTTAACGGATTTGGTGATCTTGGCACTTTAAAAATGAGCTCGGTGCCGAAATTGCGTGCGTCCGAACGGCATTAGCCTTTGTTTTCTCGTTTGACTTCTCACAGTCGTGTCTCACGTTGCGAGCACTTTAAGTACCCTGCAAGATCTTCCCAAGCTTTGCTAAACTGGACTGAAGCCATCTGAACCACATTTCTCAACATTTTCCTCAAACTTGGCCAATCATTTATAAAGTATGGAAAGAGGCTACAGGGTGCTTGACAGATGAATACAGAAAAATATTCTCTATTCGAAATAATGCACTGCGAAAGCACAACTGTTGACCTAGAAGTGCTCCATTCTGAACCTAGTTTGGACCATCAACTACGTTCCGCGCATCCACATTACGACAATAGGCACCAAGGAGACTGTGACTTCTCCTACGCCTTGGGAAGGAGCGTAATGCTAAGTGAACCACTCGTTTGAGCGGATATGCGACAAGACAATCGTAATATGCCGTACTAATAGGAGTAGCAAGTAACGCTACGGCCGCGAGACAAGCTGTTTTGCCTGACTGTTCAAATTTCGCTGTGAAAGGGACGAGGGATCTTTACCATTCAGTATGGAGCCATGGAGCCTTGCATATGTGTCTCTGCCCCCCCCCCTTGTTGTGTGTTCACAATAGTTTCGCTGCTCCAGTCGTGGAACTGCCGCACACCGAGAATTTGTTGTCACGAATCGCTGGACGGAGCGCCGCGCTCGACGGCGCGGCAGACTACGATTATCTTGCCCATCTCCCACTCAAGCAAAAAATGTCTTAAAGACAGCTCCCGCGATAAAAGTGTCATGGATAGTTGCTTTTCAATTATGAAACAGTAGCTGATAAGTAATTCCCCAAAGAAGAAAAAGCAAGAAGAGTCCTCAAGAACACTATAAACAAAATCGCTCCCTGGCAGTCACACCTTCCTGCGGTCTCTGTGCAACCCCTGGCTCACAAATTCCTTTATCACATCTCCCAGTAGTGGGTATCATCCAATGCAATGAAAAGAATACGAAAAACAACAAAAACACGGAAGAAAAACTCTTGAAAAGGAAAAGAAACTTTCAAAAACTAGGCGTCTGAATTTAGGGTTACGGTAGCGTGCATCTTTTAGTGTAGTGTGGTGCGTCGAGCTTTTGCACCACGAAAATTGGGTCGCTCGTGATTTTTACGCGTTTTACCTTGCAAGATGGGTTGGAGTTGACTGTATGTGCTCCTAATAAATAAAATGTAATAAAGGAGAGCAGAACCATTCATGGGCACGAGCGCGGTCAGCAAAAAGGGCATGCAATTCCGATTAATGCCCGCCGCCCCAACAAAGAACAACTGAGCGGCTTTCCGTCAGAGGGCATCTAGCAAGTGGGCGGTCCAACTGGGCGGGCGTTAGAACTAGAATTTTTGGCACTATTGAAGTATTCCTACCCCAGAACACCCAAAAAAATGTTTTCGCTGAAACGTTGCCTATAGATGTAATTCGATGCGTTGATCACGAATATAACATCCGTTTCGAGCGCTGGCGTCATTTAGGCTATCAGCCAATTGGGGCACATTGCGAATTGGAGAACTTCGCATTGGGTTAATCGGTCCTGATTACGACAATATCACACTGGTTTCCAAGGCGATCAGTGCCCACTGGGTGTGCGCCATTGCGCCTATGGCGCAAATTGGCGCGAAATGGCACCCAGTGGCGCCAGCGCCGAAAATGAATGTTGGATTCGTAATCAGGACCTCAATTAACCCCCATATGCAAGTTTTCATCAACTTTGGTGAAAAAAGTGGTGGGCGCCAAATTGGCGCACAATGGCGCCTAATGAAACCTAGGCGCCCGAAAAGACTGCCTAATTTCGCGGCCTGTCAGTCGCAATCGATACATCATAAATTATATCTAATTAATTATCATCTATTCATCAATTACATCTTTTTTTGAAGTGTTCTGCGGGCTGGAATAAGTTCAATAGGCCCGAATTTTTAAGCAGCTGTAGCTCGCTCCTCGCTCGCTGTGGAGTCGCGAAATTGGGATAATCTTTAGCTTGCGGGCTGTACTACTTGGACAAAGAAGGACGACCATGTACTACTCGAGGGCGGCGGGGCTGTCTTTAAGCTACCACAGTACCCTAGTGGAACAGCGCCAAATACGTCGGATTTCAATGAAAAAAACTTTTCAAACTACTGAAGACATGATTCAAAGCTTGAACATTT